TTTTTTTTTTTTTTTTTTTTTTTTTTTTTTTTTTTTTTTTTGCGGAGATGAGCTCTGCAAAGTCGACAGCATGTCATACATGCCCCCGATAGGCTCTACTAGCTCATGATAGCAAGCACGGTGCCTGTATGCTGTAGCTTTGCACGGCAAATCATCAACAAGATACCCGTCCTCTTCTCTTCAGTCGGATGGTGCTGAAGATATCCTTTGGTGGTTGCACTCCTACAACAGAGCCTTAAACCACCAGTACTAGGGCGACGCCTTAGCGTTAACGCTACACGAATTCCGCGGCTGGCGGGCCGTCGATAAATCGAATCGACAGCACGCGCTGCTTCGAGATTTGGGCGGCCGGCGCGCCGCGCAGTGCCCAAGTACTGGTGGTTTAAATGAATAAATCAAATCAATAAATAAATAAGTAATTAAAAAAAAAAAACAATAAATAAATCAATAAGAAAAGGGAAGTCTGGTGGTTGACCTTGAAATATGAGATCTTCTAATTCAGCTTTCATCTTTGTTGCTTACTGTCTTCTGAACGTAACACATCTTTGCCATGATGTCCGTGTGTGTGTGTGTGTGTGTGTGTGTTTTGTTTTGTTTTCCCCCCTTGTGTGTGTGTGTGTGTGTGTGTGTGTTTGTTTGTTTTGTTTCTTCCCCCTTTGTGCCTCTTCTATCTCGAGTAGCTGCAATCACCCCTGAGAAGGCAAAAAAAGACAAAAAAAAACAAAAACAAAACCACGGACATCACAGCGAAGGGGGGTTGCTGTTCAGAAGACAGTAACAAACCAAGATGAAAGCTGAATTAATAGCTCTCATATTTCTGGCCGCATACATTTTTTACAGGGTATCCACCAGACCATCCTGTTTTATTTATTGATGTTTTTATTTATTTAAGGCTCTGTTGTAGGAGTGCAACCACCAAAGGATATGTTCAGCACCATCCCACGGAAGAGAAGAGGACGTGCATCGTGTTGATGATCTACTGTGCAGAGCTAGAGCTAGTAGAGCCTATTGAGGGCATGTACGAACAAACTCCACATTGTGATGTGTGGAGCGCAATGCAACATTTGCTGGTGTTTTGTCGTAAAAGCAAATTTTAGCATTTTAACCCGCTCAAGTGAGCAGGTGGGTAAATCATTTGCTACCGCTTGGGATCATCAGGTTAAAAAAAAGAGAAAAAAAAAAAAAGAAAAGGAGGTTAGCTCCCCATCTTTTCGGCGCCTCTTCTTCCGCCTCCTCCTTTGCCCTTTCCGCTATTTCATCCCTCTGACATCTGCATTTCCATTTTTCTATTTTTTTATTTTTTTTAAATTACTATTATTATTATTTTTTCCCATTGTCCAGCCTGGATAAACACACTCCTTTTTAAGGATGCTGTTTTAGTAAATTGTATAACTCTTGTGGCTATATGTTTGAAGCAACCTGAAAGAATTCTGGCGGGGAGAGGTGGATGGGGGCAAGAGGGCAGCGCGCCCTACACACCGCTGTGTGGCAGTGTGCCCTCCACACCAATGAGGGGCAAATCTGTGATGAGAAGGGGCAGAAAAAAAATAAAATTACAATTACGCTGTTCTTGCACCCTCCTTACCGAAATTCTGCCATTAATTTGCCTTGGAATTTCGGTACGTTGGGTGCAACAACAGCATAAGTGTAATTTACTATGTTTTATTTATTTTTTTCGGAATATCACCCTCACTAAAAGGACGGAACAAAAATTGAGAAATGGACCAATGGTCCAAATTCAGATGTACGAGTAGTGACAACTTCGCCTTTGTGAGGGGAAAGGCAGTTTGGTCAAGAGAGAGAGATGTATGCATGTGAATGTGCAAATGCCGTGGTGCGTTTTTGGATATGCAAAGGAGACGGGGGAAAGACTGTGACCGACAAATCTATTCCTTAGCAACTGAGGGGATCTGTTTTGGGGCCTCAAGCCGGAGTGATCACCTCAGATAAAGCCTAAAAAAATCCTAAAGGCTAAACCCTAAAAAGTCCTAGAGGACTCCTAAACCTTAAAAAATCCTGAATCCTAAACCCCACAGAGTTCCAATGGAAGGGATCTCCTTCACTGCAGAGCAGTTGTCAAATAGTACAATGGAACTCTCACAATGATCAACCTCCCTCCCTCTCTCTCTCTCTCTCTCTCTCTCCCTCTCTCTCTCTCTCTCCCTCTCTCTCTACATTTAGTTTTAGTAAAATTTTACATACACCAGAACACAAATCCATAGCCTTGAGGGGCAACGGTGCTGTTTCTAAGAGGTGAGATAGCAGTGCTGCTATTTCACCCTCTTATGTACAAACCTGATCCTGGTATTTCACCGTTTCTGTTAAAGAGCGGTGCTTTTATTTCACCCTTCCGTTTGATTCCTCGCTTGAAGCCAACCACCTTGCCCCCCCAAAACACCACGGTTACAGGGGTGGGTTAAAAGGGGTTGAAATCCGGAGATAATTGAGTTCCAGATTGGGCTATAGGGCTCTTAAGTTCCAGAGCGGGCTATAGGGCTCTTAAGTTCCAGAAGGGGGGGGTGATAGGGCAGTGTGCCCTTCTTGGCAGTCGTGCTTTCCTTTCGGGGACACTCCGCCAGAGTGCCAGTGCGATCATCTTTTTTTTATTATTATTTATTTATTAGCTAGGCTACCAGTTGTCCGATGGCAGGACGTCCTGGGCGGACAGTCAGGGGGGTCCCGGACGTCCGGGCCCGAACAACTCCATTTTTAGCAATTAAAAACACGAAAAAAGTAAATATATATATGAAACTCCGACGAAACAGTTTGTCACAGCCCCTCGTTTGTTGTCCTCTTCTCCCTCTCTGCCTACGGTTTACCGTAGGCAGTTCTATTTCACGATATATATATATATATATATCTCTGCCTACGGTTTACCGGGCAGTTCTGTTTGTGACGATATATATATATATATATATTATTTTTTATTTTAAAATTGGCAGCGAATTTGGATATGGTTCCAAGGCAAAAGTTGTTCAGTTTAGTTTTCTGTGTAACATACTTGTTTTTCAGATTTTTCTGAGGACTTTTTTTTTTTTTTTCGGGCTCGGACAGACTGCCCGGGGAGGACGTCCGCCCAGTTGTCCGATCGGACAACCCCGGACGGTCAGGGGGGTCCCGGACGTCCGATCAGGTAACCTAGTTTATTAGTGCGATCATCTTCATTACTGCCGTGTCGGGTCCTTCCTAAGATCCTACGGTTCCAGTGCCCTTCCCGGGCAAGAATATCGGTCGGAGGATTACGTATGCGTTATTGTAGAGCAATTTACGGACAAGACAAGGATGTGACAAACCCATCTTTTCTATTTGATGACAGATGGAGCGCCTGTTTTGCGAGGCATGCAGAGAAGTAGCAGGCTGCAGAGCAATTGCAGTGCTGTTCTTTTTGCCCCCTCAGCGGAGAAGTGGTCCTTATTGGCCAGGATCTGTGAGCATTCTGGGGAGAACATCAGAACAACGGGTTGTGGATGCCCAATCGCTGCCGGTTTCCGCAGAAGTTCCCACCACTTCAGGACACCATGCAGGTGTTGCAACCACATAAAAAGCCTTTATTGAAAACAAATTGTGACCAGGCACGCTGAAGGCAGAACACACTCGATATGGGCACACAAATGATGACGAAAAGACAGAGAACTGATAATGCTTTGGATTTGCAGTCCCTCCAAAAGTCGCCGCTTATACAGGAACATGCATCCCCAACTCTTGGGACTTTCTATCTACACTATACAGGAACAATCCTGCAACAAACATGTGTGGTACTTACATGAACGTGGAGGGTACACAATCTCTCTCTCTCTCTCTCTCTCTCTCTCTCTCTCTCTCTCTCTCTCTCTCTCTCTCTCAGGCACAACGTAAGCACTTCTGAAGTCCTACTGGCTCTAACACAGTAATAACAACTTCATCTTAGCCGAGTGCAGGACTCTCTCTCTCTCTCTCTCTCTCTCTCTCTCTCTCTCTCTCTCTCTCTCTCTCTCTCTCTCTCTCTCTCAATGATGCACGGCATAGCTGTCACCAACAGACGCAGAGAAATGATTAACTTCTTCTACATCAAGACTGTGATGTTGCTGCTGCACGCTGCTGCATGATGCTTTCGACATCCCCCGGAAACATATTTAAAAAAAAAAAAGAACAGATTGCTCGTCAACGTGACGACAAATTGAGAAGTAGACAGTGGACCAAAAACATAATTGGACTTCTGTAGGGACTAAGAGGCAGACGGGTTGTCGTCTAAAGAAGCTGCCTGCTATTACAACTCGACTCGTACATATCCGTCAACATTCTCTTCTGAAGCATCCTCATCCCAATCTGGCGGACCACCCCGCTTTCCAAAAACCAGCCGTTTGATCCCAACATGGCTGCGAAAAAACAAACAACACATCATTCACCAACAAACCGACAACCAATCGACAAGCGTAAGAAATCAATACATAGTACATCAACAAGTCTAACGGTGTTAAAAACTAGAAAAAAAAAACAAAAACAAAAACTGGCTGTGTGACGAGCCTTCCCCAACGTGCAAATGCATGCGCAAGGGACCAAATGCATGTTCCCTTCCGTATTCTCAATTCTATCAATCCAATCCAATCCAATCCATCCATCATCTATGATTGCATGCCATTCCACCTCACACTGTTTCCCCTCCAACCTCAGGAGGAGAAAAGTTATAAAACCTTCCCCCCCGGCGATGAAACCCTTGTATTCGTTTCCCCCCCCCAACAGGGACAAACAGTGCCACAGGCCCCAAACTGACTTTTGCCCTCATTTTGGCAAATTGGCACCCTGTAAAAGACTTTCCCGCCATTTTGCACAGCAGGTATTACCAGCCCAGCCAGGGTCCCTTTTTGGGGTCATTTTGGGGCCTGCAACACTTTTTGGGGCCCAAAATGACCTTTGTATTCGTCGCCCCCCAAACAGGGCAAAAAGTGTCGCAGGCCCCAAAATTCGACACTTTTTCCCCCGTTTGGGGGACGACAAATACAAACGTTTCGTCGCCGGGGGGGGGGAGGTTTTATAACTTCACCCTACATTCTTCCTCTCCTCCCTAACCCCTAGAGCATACTCACACCACAAGTTTTTCAACTTCAACTTGGCTCTGTGGACGTGATTGCGGTCAGATGCATCCATGTCCGGCCGAAATCACCATCCCATATACGTAGAAAACTGTCGGTTTACATAGTACATACCCTTACGGGCCTAACCCCTTTTCTCATCCGTCCTGTTTTTGTATGCCCTTGGACACAACGATGTTAGGTGCTGCCCCCTTGCAAGAACAAAAACTCCCCACCCACATTCTTCCTCTCCTCCCCCCTACCCTTGACCCCCCCCCCCATCTCCTCCAGCCCTGAGAGAGATCCCCTCCATCCTATCTCTTTGCGCCTTGACTCAATGATGTGCGCAAAAAATAGTAAAAAATCGGTTCACGACGAACTGAAAAGGTGCTACGTGCGTCGTATTCGCTTACATCGCTTCTGCCTTATGTTTGGGGGAAAAAGGTAGTGGTGGCAAAAGGTACACGTTGAGGTAATAAAAACCTTACGCACTACAAAAAAGAAAAAAACTTAAAAAACTTAAAAAAAAAGTTGAAGAAGAAAGAAGCATGCCCTTCTTGCATCGAAGTTCACATCCAGGCAGGTGACCTTTGGTGGAATTCGGTGGAATATTTTTGAATACCCCTCTCGTTTGTTGTCCTCTTCTCCCTCCCTCTCTGCCTACGGTTTACCGTTGGCAGCTCTGTTTGACGATATATGGAGAAAGGCATCACATGTTTACTGTAGGTCTAAACGTAGATTTTCTTCGGGGTCGGGGGGGGAGCTGTAAAGTTGACAAAACGAATAAAAACAGATGAATTGAAGTACATGAATAAATCTACGATAAGACAATACAAAATAATACAACAGAATGTTTTAAAGTTTTAAATTGATAATAATGTATTTATAACATAGATCTACGATAAGACAATACGAAATAATAGAACAGAATGTTTTAAAGTTTTAAATTGATAATGTATGTATAACATAATTAGATTACATAAAGTTTAATTATCCACCAGGATATTTGATTTATTGTACATATTATACGGCGATTCAGATCGAGCATATACGCGCGCACTAACCAGCCAGAGGATGTTCATCTAGGTGAGAGGTCGCGTTTGCGTGGAGGAGGCCTTGGAGGCTGCCTGCAGAGGATCTCATGGGTATCAGCGTGCCGACGACAAAATGCTTGCTGCAACCGTGCTGGGATTGGGCTGACGGTCACGGCCGCCGCGTTATGGCTTCAGTTTTGAACACCCGGTCGCGTTTGCAGTGGTAAAAAGGCATCCGCCTGTAATGGACGAGGTCACCGGTTCGACTCTGTCTGGCTGCGGATTGACCGCGGCTATAATAAAAACCTCAAACCCTGACCTGATGCTCTGGGAGTCGCAAATGCGAAAAATAATGTAAGAAGAGAAATAAATAAAACTAGATGACCCGTTGCAGCTTCGCCCGCAAAAACAGAAAAAGAAAAAAGCACAAAAGAAAGAAAACGCATAAGGAACTGCCATATCATATGCCGCTTCTTTCACAATAAGAAAAGGAAGAGCCTGAGAGCAGATAAAAACCCGCGTGCAAGAAAATAGCAGGGAATACCACCGAACATTCTGTTTCTTTATCTTTGCGTGTTCTGTTTGGGGAGCCGTTACCTTTGCAGCATCGTTTTTGTTTTGTGCTGTGCAAGAACTCTGGACTTTTCTGAGAAAATCCAGTCCGTCCTCCAGTTGATGTTTTTGGTAAAGATTCAGAATCAGACTTTGTTTGCTGTGTTCTCTGGATATGGTTGTGATCAATCGATCTTGCATGTATGCCCAATGCTTACTTGTTGATTTTTGACGCTATGTGTGCAAGTGCATGCACGTGTGGGTGAGTCTCAGTTTGGTGGGCTCCGATAATGTCAGTGATGATTGGCCCGGGGAAGGTGTTGGAAGGCGCCTCCAACTATAGGAGTGCTGCTGATGTTGAGCAGGTTTTGCATTGTATGAATAAAACAATCAGCATTCAATCTGCTTGGCAGTTGCTCTTCGAGTGGGGGACTTGTAGGGAGTAGCATTGCCGTGGGAGCCATAATGCCAGGCGTGCATCTTGGAAAATTTCCAGGAAGGCAAAAGGCAAAAAAGAAACGTAGCACGTGTCAGAGTCACATAATGGACCACATAATGGACAGCTTGGCACAGTCCCCCCCCTTCTCTCTCTCTCTCTCTCTCTCTCTCTCTGTCTCTTCCCCCCGTGACTTAGAACTTGGAACCCTTTACTCCACCCCGACCTTCCCCTAACCCCACCTCACCCTTCGCCCCCCCAGCCTGTCAAACCCCTGAGGAGTCGGTGAATAGTCCGATTGCTCCACGTGGCTGGAGTTGTGTATAGAGAACATGACAACACACCAAACAAAAAAGAACAAAAAAGAACAAAAAAGAACAAAAAAGAGAAAGGCAAAACAGCCTGCGCAAGCCTTTAACCTCCCCCGGCTGCCGCCGACTTCCCCCAACCCTCCTCTCTCTCTCTCTCTCTCTCTCTCTCTCTCTC